CATGTCATTTTTATGCACCAGGAAGCCTGCCAAAGCAGTGTAATATTTATAATTATTATTTTAAGACTTTTGGGGGGTGTTGGGGTGTCTGGGTGTCCTCCCAGTAGTTACCGGCATCTAAACACCCCAGAAAATCCTGGGTTTTGGGGGGGGGGTGTGGGGACAGAAATGTGTGACAAAGTGGGTTTTTAAAACTTACTTTGTCATGCATTTCTGTGAAGTCTAGAAATGCCCTTCCACATGCCCACGGAAATTCACATCATATATTATACTCAAGTATAAGCTGACCCAAATATAAGCCAATGCACCTAATTTTACCACAAAATACTGGGAAAACGTATTGATTCGAGTATAGCCGAGGATGAGAAATGCAGCAGCTACTGGTAAATTTCAAAATAAAAATAAATACAAATAACATTACATCAATTGAGGCATCAGTAGGTTAAATGTTTTGAATATTTAGATAAAACTGTAATTTATCTTGTGTTAACATTAGACAGGGTGTGAATAGCATCTTCTCCTGAGAACATCCTTGGCAGTAAACCTAAACAGAGAAATTTGAACATAAATGCCACTAACATAAATGGAGCAGTGAAAATTTCTTCCATAAACATGGTAGAATTCACAGTATCTGAAACATTGTCCAGATATGGAGAGGTTAACATTTTATCTGACAAGGATTCACAATAATATAAATAATTTCAGCAAAACTCTGTGACAGATGCAACTTTGTGTTATGGACAGGGATCACACAATATCAAATATAGCAGGAAATGCCGAATTAGAGTAGAACAGATAGTCACTAATTTAAAATAGGTCTTTGAAGTTCATTCATATAATACCCTTCCTGGCTTGGTTTTAAAGCCCTGCATCATATGGTCTTTATAATTCAGATATAACAAGATTTGTACATTGATCTTCTATTTGGCAGCTCTTTAGCTTTCTACCCCTTTAATATGCACATCATGGCAAGCACAAAATGATCAATAAACAACTGTGTCAAACAAGGTTATTCCATGAACTTCCACTGGCTCAGTGCTGATTAACTTCCCAGATCAGATGTAATGCAGTGGTCAGAGAAACAAGGTTATGGAAAGGACCTAGGAAAATAAAGGACATAGTAAACAGTAAAGCAGAGTTCATATTATTTGCCTTCAGCAAAGGGATTACAATGATTTTTAATAAATTCCTGAAGAATCCGTGTCTTTAATCATTTTGTAATTCTTTTGAGTAACCAAGCTTCTGAATTTTATCAAAAACATATGCCCTTTTTACTTATTTATAAAGACACAACACATAGAGAGGAGAGCACTACCCCTGCTCCTTCCATCCTCAGTTCGTTTCCTCTCTGCATATGATCACTGATTTGAACATGAGGAGACCCTACACAGGCCCTAAAATCTGAGAGAAACTGGGATAAAAGGGGGGCGGCTAGATGATGCTTGCCATAAATTTGCGCTGAATCGTATTTTCAACTGAAAAACACAGTGAGCTTAAAATCCAAGATCAGCTGAAAAATGCACCAATTCACATCACTGTATATCCCTGCACTCAAGAAAAATATGGGACTTCATTGCAATATGCTGGTGTGGACCATTTCAGCCCATGTGTGCATTTTAAAATCTTGAAGTAGCTGATGAAAACTGAAAACAGATGGAATCATGGACACACAGGTAGCTAAATGGAAGGACAAATGGAATGCAATTCCCATGAGAACTCTCTGCAACCATTTTTTCTCATATTTATGAAATTAAACAGAGATTGAATTTCCACAATGGGCATCAACATGGCAGGCAAGTGACCCCAAAGCGAAATGGGGGTCAAGAGAGCAAACACAAAGGCAGCAGGAGGATTAGAAGAGGTAATAACAAGCAATCTGCTTGTGTACACATTCATATATCCCCATCATTGCTTATGAGGTCCAGCACATATCAGATAGTCCCTTTTGTGCACTTAAAACCCTGCTTTAACTTGAATTAATTAGATACCTCATTAGATACGGGCCTTCCTGAAAGGCCCGGGTCTAATGGGGTATGGGTCCTGTGGGGACTGGGTCCTGGGTACTCCAAGAGCCCAAAAGGTGCTAGATGGGTGTGGGGACTGACTCCCGGGTACTCTTGGGGGTCAGTCCCCACACCCATCTCTCACCTTTTGGCCTCCTGGAGTCCAAAGATGCAAGATGATGCCTACCCCCTTCCCAACCCCCCCCCCCAAAGCCTTTTAAAAAACCTTACCAGGTCACCATGCTTCACTCCTGGCATTATTTTTACATGCTAGAAGGGCAGCAGAATGTTTAAGGCTTTTGGGGATGTGTGGCCCCATTCCAGCACAGTAATTATCATGCTGGCATGGGAATACCGCCTGCCGGGAAGCCTGGGTTTTCATTCGGGCATGGGGACTTAAACCCACGATTAAAGCCCTGAATTGAAGGTTCCCTAGACACAGCACAGAACATGATGAGATTCAGGTTCAGACCCAAAGCCTGTGTTTTCCACAGATCTGAATTAAAGCTTTCTTGCTTTAGTTCCACTAGGTGGCAGCAAGTAAAAGAAAGAAGGACAGCACCTTCCATCCAGCAACCCCGGAGACTGGATCTACACTGTCATATAATTCAGATTATTAAAGCAGATGAACCACATAACTACTTTAAACTAGATTATATAAGTCTACACTGCCATATAACCCAGTTCAAAGCAGAAAATCTGGAATTGTATTGCAATGTAGATGGGCCCTGAGATTTCTGGCGATGGTAAGACCACTGCTAGTCCTCACCACCAGAATATCTCCCTTGGGTTATGGAGCTAGGAAGCAGCACCCAGGACTGAAAACGACGACACATATTTTCCCTAAAGCCACTCAGGCCCCTTCTACACTGCCATATAATCCAAATTAACAAAGTGGAAAATCCACATTATCTGATTTGAAGTGGATTATATGAGTCTACACTGCCATATAATCCGGTTCAAAGCAGATAATCTGATTTTATATGGCAGTGTAGAAGGGGTCTCAGTTTTTTATATGTCAACAGGGAGGGGGGGTCTTTTCGCATGATACTTCCACAAAAAGAGATTTCAAGTAAGGTTTCAAATAGAAGGGAAGGAAAACGAGTTATATCCCATTTCTGAATGAGATTAAATTCTAAAAGGTGACAGCTCTGTGACAGACTGATTAAATGCACAAATTGTGGTTGGTGGTAGGGAGGAATACATATGAAAATCAATTATAGTGTGACATTTTGTTTTGTAGCAATATGAAAAAAATACTGAAAACCTACCTATGTTCACCAGGCATAGCTTTGTATAAATACCATTTTTGGCCATAAGATCTTTGCAGTTGATGCAGTTAATACACTCTTTAGCAAAAAGAGGTGTGACTTTGGTACTGAGTAATAACTGGCACAAACTAGCAACACAATGCTCAAATATTTAAAGGTGATATCAATACCAAGCTTCTTTTTATAATCCTAATGTTTAATATAATTTAACATTATGATTGCAACCTCTCTGGAAACAGCGAGTGAGACTTGTGAACCTTTTAAATATTCCAATTGTTATGTTTGATCCAGGAAAACATGTACAGTAGAGTCTCGCTTATTCAACATAAATGGGCTGGCAGAATGTTGGATAATAAGGAGGGATTAAGGAAAAGCCTATTAAACATCAAATTACATTATGATTTTACAAATTAAGCACCAAAACATGGTGTTTTACAACAAAATTGACAGAAAAAGCAGTTCAATACATGGTAACGTTATGTAGTAATTACTGTGTTTACGAATTTAGCACCAAAACATCGCAATGTATTGAAACAGATGTAGATCTAGGCGGGAGACAGACTGCATTGGATAATACAGAATGTTGGATGAGTGAAGGTCAGATAAGCGAGATTCTACTGTACATCCAAGCGGAATAAACAGAGCTAAAAGGACACAGCTAAATAAATCTCCACTTATTTTTATTTGTGCCTTCTGGTTAGCTCATTATGACCACAGAAGCAACCTGTTTCAGATGTTTGAGCAACTGTTTTTTCTATGTATAGCAAGGAGAACAAAGAACAAAGATTGCACTAACTCTGGACATCTGTGAGTCCCGTGCCCCCCCCCCCCCCGGTAGTTAAATACTTTCAGATCAAACTCCAGTAAGGGGGGGGGGGTAGAACCTGTTCTTCTACTTATCCCTCTTAGCATTTCTAAAAATACAGTAATCCCCAACAAGATACTATTTTAAGGGATTCATGTGTATGGGTATACCCATGGGAGACTTATTTTTGGCATGCCTGCATGGATCAGCTTCACATGGTTTGCATAGCTAGCACTGTGTATGCTTTTATGACAAGCCACTCTGTACACTGACAAAAGAGACAGCTTCTGTATTTGGGGACCACAGCCATGGAATTTTTAGGCTAAGTTTTATCCTGTAGCAGGAGGAATAATGCTTTTTTAGAAATGTTAATGTGTGTCTGAAATCATTCCTTTCAGACCTCCATGCACAGTCTTTCCCACTTATTGGATCTGATTTCATAAAACCTGGCTGTGATTTCTCTCCGGGGACCTTAATGATCTTGCCACCTTCAATAAACATTTCTAGAAGCTCTGCCAGCTCGTGGACAAGGAAAATCATATGAAAGACTTTATCTTCCAAAAATACTAAAAGCCACCGAAAAATGCAGAAAACTCATACCAGAAGACTAATAGAAACTGTCAAGATGTAGCATTCAATTGATAACTGAAACTGAATAATAGCACAAAGCGTTTGCATTGCAGACCTGCTGTTGGCTTTTTTGTTTGTTTGTTTGTTTATTTTTGGGAGGAAAATGAAAATAGAATGTGAGTCTGGGACCAATAAAACCATGGTTGAAAAAGACAAAGAAACTGTAAAAGCCAAGATGGATATTAAGATGGTAAATCCTATTCAACACTCGTGTTATCTGGGACCAGAAATTCATACTACCCATGTATGCACCTCTAAGAAATTTCCATTTTTTCGCATTAAAAAATCCAGATATGAAGCCGAAGCTGCCTTCTTCGCCAACCTGAAACTATCTGACTTCAACATCATTGACACCCTTGGAGTTGGAGGTTTTGGAAGAGTTGAGCTGGTAGGTAACCCTTTTTTCCACTTCATTAACCATTTGAATTCTGTGTTTGGTTTCATTTATCAGATGAAGAATTTTCAACTTTTTCTTGTCAATGTATGTGTTGAGCAAAAAATATTGCTGAAAGAAAACTGGTAATGTTATCAGTCAATACAAAATAGTGAAATATATTACTATAATTGGAAAAAAATAAACCTGAAAAAACATCAGACCCTATCTTGACAAGTCTGAATTTACCATTTCAGAATGGTTTTATATTTGAATAGTACTATACAGGATTTGGTCTGATGTTTAAATCATGCTGTTCAAGTTTTTAAATGTTTTTAAACACTAGATCAAAATAACCACTCTCGTGATTTCTGATAAAATTTAAGAGGAAGCTTATTTATGTCATAAATGCTATAAACATATGAATTTTTTTTTTGCTATTATAGTAAAAATAATTCTTTTCCAACTTAAAGTAACAGAAATGTAGTTATTTTAGTAGCCTGTTGCTTTTTCAGTTGTCATATTAGTCCCTTCGGGGAGATGGGGGCGGAGTATGAAAAAGTAGTGGTAGTAGTTGTTGTTTGATTTTATTTTTATTTTATTTTTTCTGTTCAGAAGTGCTAGAAACATAAACTCTCTTGATATCAGCAATGAATATACTAGCTCTTCTGTTTATGTACATTTATGTATACAATATGAATATAGAGGCAAATAAGAAATATTATTAACTGAGTGACTCATTTTTGAGATATGTGAACAACAGCTTTGCAGTAATGCAGAGGTCTCCCTGATATGTGATACCAGTGAGACTCTTAAAGGAGTTCCTAAGTTATGTACAAAGTAGTAAATAGATTTACTGCTGCCTTTGCAGAAATAAAAGGATATCCCTTCCATAAATGTAAGGCAGTCAGGCAACCGTGACATAAACATTTACTCTGGCTATGGGTAAACTAGCATATTTCTCTATTAATTTTAACTTGCACTGAGTATGTTAAGAATTATTTCTAGAGTTTGAATAGATATGAGGCAATGACTTCTGCAGAGGCCACAGTCTTAGATGTGCTTATAAGATAAAAAGTGAACTCTCATGAGGACTTTCTTCTGAGTGAATATGTATAGGATTCTGCAGTGATTCCTTGAATAGCTGTTCTATAGGAATGGGATAACTTTTTAGAAGACACTGTGAAGGGCATCAGACTATACTGTTTAGATGAAACAAGTGTATGATTTCTTTGAACATGTGCAATTTTTGAACATGCCTTGGTTAGGAGAAATTTCATTCAATTTCCCATGTACAATGTTCTTTTCTTCACGATATTGCCTTATTAGTATCTCTCACATCTGAACCACAACCTTCCTGAATTTAAAGAAGAAATCAAGATTTTCTGGGGAGAGGTGCTTATAAGGAAATACTAGGCTTCTTCATTTCCTGTCCATAGTTTTCATACAACAAATAATGTTTTATTTCCATTTGCCTCATACGTCATAATTACATTTTATATGTGGGCCCTCGGGTTTAAATACCATCTTGGAAGTACTATCTTCAAAGTGTTGGGTGTGGTAGTAGAATTGACAATTGTTTTCATGTTGTTAACTGCCATCAAGTCAACTTCATTCAATTATGAATGAAAGACCTCTAGGTCAATCTATCATCAGGTCTGCTCAGATCTTGCAGACGAAAGGCTGTGGCTTGCTTTCTTGTGTCCATATTGCATCGCTCCTCTTTTCCTACTGGCTTCCCAAGCATTATTGGCTTTTTCTCATAAGTTATATCTTCTGATGTTATGTCCAAAGTATGATAGCCATAGTCATTTTGGATTCTAGGGAGTGTTCAGACTCAGTTTGCTCTAGGACTCATTGATTTATCTTTTTGGCAATCCACGGTATCCATAGAACTCTTCTCCAGCACCCCATTTCAGAGCGCTGCTTCAAAGAAGAGAAGAAAGGAGAGGGAGAGGACGATTCTTAGCCTGCAGCCACACCACCGCTGCCACTGATTCAGAAGAAGAGGAAGGAGAGGAAGAAGACGAAGCAGCAGCTGAGACACAGTGTCAGGCTGAGTGTCACCCTCTTCCTCTCCTTCCTCCTCTTCCAAAGCAGCGGCAGCGTTGCTTCAAAAGAAGAGGAAGAAGAGGAAGAGGATGACACTCAGCCTGCACCTGCACCGCAGCCGCTGCTTCGTCCTCTTCCTCTCCTTCCTCCTTTTCCGAAGCAGTGGCAGCGGCGGAGTGGCTGCAGGCTGAGACTATCAGCATGGTCTCTTGCCTCATATTGTAGATCTGTACTTTTTAAAGTATTTACTGTGCAGTTATGTGGGTAAATGTGTGCACAATCTTTAATATATATATATTTTTTCTTGAAGACAAACTACTCAAACATGAGAAAATATAACACTGTCACAACAACAGTGACACTCATAGCTATACATGTTGTTCCTTTGAAAAAATACTGATTTAATAGAAAGCCTTCCTTAAAAACTGTTTATGGCACAATCTTAAATTTTAAGGCAATGTTTTCTTCTCCCTAAGGCATGACTCCTCTATTGTGTAATCAGCAATAGATTGGAAATTAGAAAGTTTGTGATCCCAGTACTTAGTGGCTATCAAGAATGCAATAGATTTTGTTCAATTTTCAGATGTAGTTTCAGGGATGGTGTTCCTCTGTGAATGTTGATTGTTTTAAGAATGCATTCTATGAACAAATTTAGATGCAGCTACATGTCCATTAAGTAAGACAGACATGATTTGAATAATTAATTCTAAGAAGATTAGAATGTAATTTGGGGGATTTAGAGTTTTCTCTAGTAAAAAAGACACATTTTTAAAACCTATGCAGTGAAAAATGTGAGCTGTCTCATGCGGTAATGGGGTCTTTCTTGTCTAATTTGGTGTCTTTATAAGTTAATAGAAGATTTGTATTACTATTCATAGTTTCCTTGATAGGGGGTGTTACCAATCTGACCTTCGTCTTCTATTACATTATGTGTTCACGGATACTATTTTTATTATTCCTTCACCTCCAATGACTGGCAGTATTCTTAAGGGTCTTGTAGAAAGCGGCAAAAGGACACTTGCAGGTCAAGAGTGTGAAGATTTACTGCTTTAGATTTCAAGGGAGCTGAATCCCAAATCTTCCATAAAGTGTAGTTCCAAGATAGAAGCACTTCTTATAAATAAAAGAGAGAATAATGTTCACGGGTTGCTGTTTCTTTTTCTTTCTTTCTTTTTTTTTTTTGGGGGGGGGGAGTACTATTTTTATCTCCTTAAAGAAATAACTGATAATCTAGAATCCCCCCAATCTGTGATTTGTGAAGATGGATCTGGATGAAAGATCAATATAATTAATAGTCAAATTATTTCTCATGGAGTAAAAGTCTGGAAATAAGAGGGGATCTGGTATTTCCCACCTTTTTGTCCAAATAAGCTTCTAACTTCCCAAAGCTTTTACTTATTTTGGGCAGCTTGCCTTTGAAACTTACAACCCCATCAGATGGACAAAATTGCCCATCCTACCTCACTTCAACTTCACTTGAGGCATGTAGCCGGCTGGCTGCGATCACACAATGTTGATCTACTTCTGGCAAGGAGACTTCCATGTCTCAAGTTAAGTTGAAGTGGCAGCGCCCGCATCATGGAGGCTTTCCATGTTGCATAGGAAACAGGGAGAAGCCGGACAGTGAAACTTTCCCCCGTGGGATGAAGAAAGGGGCAAGGTGGGCTATACAGGGCACAGGCCAATGGGTTCCCCACACTGGGCCCTACCAGATTCTCCACAATGCATGGTAAATCCCCCCTCAATGTGATGAGGTCCTTACTCTGCTCAGTAGCACACCAGTATGTGTTACGGCATGTGATTATGAGCTTTTTTGTCTGGTTACTGATGTGCGAATATGCTCACAGGTTATGACGGAATGGCTTTCAGAGCACAATTGATTTCCATGATCCTAGCTCTACGCAATCATCCTATGATCTGTGTCAGAATTTTTAATATCCAGCCAGGATCCGTGGTGCAAGTCCCCTTTCCCTCCACTTTTGAAATCCATGCATTTGAGCAGCAGCTGTTCCTTATAGCAGAATATAAGCAAGCTAACCAGAGACGTACAGAGATATATTAATCCCAGCAGCTGAAGTTTAGGATTAACAGAAGCAATAAATATTATTCCCAAGCACAGGAACATCACGTAGTTCCAGCAGTAAACTAATTTATCTCTTTGAAACATGCAATATCTATCAACGTTTTCTTGTTTTACAAAGTAGGATAGTACATAGATACCCATCTAAAGAGAGCACAACCTCATAGGAATATCAGTATGATACACAGATCGTAAATTTAGCTATCACTTCCCAATCTCTAAACCATCAGAAGATTGGATGCTGCAGCGTTTTGTTCCTATGTTCAATCCAATTCTCTGCAAATGCCTTTAGGGGAAAAGTAAATTGGCACTCTTAAGGGGCATAAATGGAATATGGGATGAATGTGTCACCTCGTTTTGATAATCCAAAAACCTTGTTAATTTTGTCCAGAGGACTGGAAAATCAGGACTGCCTTATCTACGCTGTCCTCCATTATGTCCTGTTTGTTGATCTCACATATTTGACAAAAAGATGGACTCCAGGAACTAGATTATGTACGCTTCGCCAATAAAGGAGAAAAGAACATTTATGGCTTCATAGAAATGCAGTTTACAGAATGCCCAAAGATTATACCAATGTTCCTCTCTCTGGTTTTTTGGGGCAGTGTTGCTGGGGAGACTGCTATTTGAACTTCAAGTACTGTAGGCCTAATATCCCACTGATCTTGAGGCATCATGATGAGTGGTTTGTGAAAGGGTCATGAATTGTGGCTGAGAGGCAACATGGTGTCAGTGCAAATTCTTAAGCCTCAGACATACACAAAAATGTCCAATGGCTGAAATATTCCTTAAAAGTATCCATTGTACATCACCAACAAGGAAAGTACAGCACAAAATGAGACGTTCCATTGCTATGGAACCTACAGAAAATACGTACAGGCTC